GAGAGAGAGAGAGATTCTTCTTGTTGCATAGGATGCCTGGAGGAAAAATTTCATTGATTCTCTCTCTCTCACGTGGCTCCCTGGTGTGTATTCAACATGTTATCTCTATTTAACAGGTTCCATTAATTTCATTCTATAGCCATGTATATGTTTCAATATGCTTCTGATTATTACAATGCAACGTCTCGAGTTAATACTTAAGAAAATGAGTGGAAACACAGTTGTCCCATTTAAGTATTCTTCTACAACCTCAATTCGTATAATTCAGTTAGTGTTGGGTCAACATTCACAGCAAGCCATATTTGATTGTTTGCCTTTTTTGAAAGGATAGAGGCTCATGCCATTGATTTTGGTTACCTAGATTTTATTTTATCAATTGTAATCTGGATTTTAAATCCTGCAGTTTTTGGATTGATGTTAGTTACATAGATTTTATTTTATTTTTATGTTATCAATTGTAATCTGGATTTTAAATTGTCCTTTTTGTGGTGGAATTGCCATAATATTTATTTGTACAATTTGAGAGTATGTATATAAATATATGATAGAATTTGTTTGTGACAAGGCACAAGGGTTTTACATGCTACATTTGCTTTTCTTTGGGTGGAAGCTAGGGACCGCCTTGCTGAAATTTATAATAAACTACTGACTTTTGTGGAAGAGGAGAGAAGATTAGAAACTCAAGCCCTGATATTGGGTGATTTTCTTGTGGCTGGCATGCTATGATGAAATGGTTCAATAATGTTTTCTCAAATGTGATAGTTATGTACCTCAATTATCATGCCTAAAGTTTTCAGTAGTGCCAAGTTTAACCAATTCTGTTAGAAATTCCATTTGTAGAGAGAGGCAGCACAATCGTTATGTTAGAATGATAATGAATTTGCATTGTTCTAAGTTCTTGCTGGCAACACTTGTTTCTAGAAAAGTACTTTTCTGATGCATGGGCAAGGGTCGCGCAGCAAAGGCTAACATAAATAGACATCCATAGGACATGTAACGTATTGAAAATGCAATTCTAGATACAATATATCTACGTAGCTTTATTGTCAGCGTGGGTTTCTTGGAAGGATGTTGTTATCACCGATATCAAGGGGTTACTTGAATTGTTTGGGTTTTATGTTCATTTATCTGTTCATTTCTACTCTGTCTTGTTTATTATACATTTTTTCGGTGTGCTCTGTTTCTTGCATATGCATGTATTGTGGATAAGCCCCATCATAAAAACGATTCACATTGCCTTTCATCTACTAGATATATATATATTTTTTTAGATTGCTCTTTCTTTGTGGACATCCTTATTTGGCTATGTAATTATTTTGTAACTTCTTACTCAATAAATGTTTTGTGCTTGTAGGAGATAACTAATGCTGGTTCCCTTGAACACAGTATTCGTGTTTTCCAATGGATGAAGAATCAGAAAACCTATTGTGCTCGAAAGGATATCTATAATATGATGATCAGGTTGCATGCTAGACATGATCGAGTTGATCAAGCACGGGGCCTATTTTTTGAGATGCAAGAATGGAGGTTGGATCTATAGATGGTTAATTCATTTAAGCTTATTTTTGATGGGATTGAAAGGTGATAGATATAATCAGTGAGGGGTTTGATTCAGTCAAAACTAGTTCGACGGCTAGTCGAACTTGTTGGACTGGATTTCTGAAAATAAAGAAAAATTAGGAATAATAGTTTAAAAACATAAAATTTATGACAAAGAAAATATAAACTTTTCTTAAATAGTCCAATGGGGCAAAAGTGGCTTGTTGAGTTGGCCAAAATTGTTCAAACATTGATTTTGATCGGTTTTTGGCCAATTCCAATTTTTTGCTAGGGACCAAACTCTCCTAGGCACTAGTTGGCTTTCCAACTAGTTAGATCGGATGGTCCTGTCCAGTTTTTTTTTTTTTTTTTTTTTTTTTTTTGTAGAATGTTCACTATACTTGTATTTCTTAAAAAAAAGAGTATACAAAAATGAGGCAACCTAGAATGGGTGCTCTATACAATGCCCTGAGGGGTCAAAAAATGCTTTACAATTAGGGAAGAAATACATAGGGAAGAAGCGAGGAAAGGAACGAGGAACCAAAAAAGCCTAAGACCCTGGTGGCGTATTTGAATGGGCACCTTCCCTAGCCAAAAGGTCTGCAGCGGGTGTTGGCTTCTCTATAGATGTTGTACCAGGAGATTCTGAAACTCCTGGATAGGTGAGCAATCTCGTTGAATATGTGATCTAGGATATAATTGATTGATCAAGCATGTCGCCTATTTTTTTGGCATCTATAGCTTCTAGTTTATCGCATCCAAATGTATAGCTTAACCCTTCTTTCTTGCTCATTTATTTGTCAAAAATCAAATAATGAAGTCTTTCCCTAAAAATATTCTGTTGGACATGTTAAGTTGTCAATGCACAAACTTGATGTTATTGAATAGATGTTGGTAGTGATTTGTGGACAATGAAAATGCTAATATGAGTAAATCAATTTTGTCAAAATGCTCATCACTGCAATAGGGTAATGTGAATTGTTGAAAAATAAGAGTGGATTTTAAATGTTTAGGTGAAATGTACTTGGGGGAGGTGATGTATCAGATGAAGCGGAAGGCGTGTTTCGATGCCTATATAGGTGTCCCAGGGGCTGGTATGATTCTTTTTCCTGGAATGATGTATTGACTACTTGGAAAGGCTGATTGGAGCATAATGCAGATAGAAGATGTTTGTTAGGTTGAAATTCATGGGGGGATGTTTGTGGTAAGAAGAGGTTGAATCACAGTCTCCTCAAGCGAGGAGGTGAGAAAATTTGGAGAAAAGAACTGGGAGACTGCCATCATATCTAGGAAAATTATTTAATTGGTATGCCTCTATGTTTTGGAGTATTTTCGCCTCATTTGATTAGACTTTTCGTTATTTTGGTGGTGAGAATGGTGGGTACTGCCGTTAGGTTTAAGAACTATGGTTTCCTATTGTTCAAAATCGGGAATGTCATTGAGCTGGAATGCAATACAAGTAAGAATTTGTGGGTAGCAGGAGGATAAGTCCCTAACCCTAGAGTTTAGGCATTGGAAAGGGGTGACTTGGGTCAAGGGAAGTAACAAGAGCTCTAGCTAAAGTGCTCCTTGCCCATAGTGGTGACTTTCTAGATGCTTGAATACACGCACGAACAGACACACAATCTTAAAAGGAGTTTGCCCGATTTGCTGGGAGGGATATTTTCAGATCCTAGTTTGCTTCCAGGGTGGCCAGATATGTGCTATATTAGAGAAAGAAATCCCTCACTGTGCCACTAGGAGATTCTACTGACTAGTCCTCAATGTGAAGAATATCAAATGTTTAACCTCATGGACTTGGAGAATGGCTTCTGGTTGGGTTTATGCTTGTGTAGTGTTTCAAGCCCTTTCAAATTCACTCAGAATGAGAATGTGGTGCTTATGGTTGGGTCCATCTTCAATAGGTGCTATGAGAATGTAATTTAGGAAAGGTACAAGCGAAGGCCTTGGAACTGAAAATGGGAGATAGTGTAATTGCTTCAGTAAAGCAAAGCCTTTTACCTTGGCAGCTGTGATGGATGAAGGGGCATTACATGGGGGGCTGGTCCTGAAGGAGGCCATTCCTGTAGCTTTCTCTTGCTCTAAGGGTGTCCTGAGTGTAGCTATGTTATATGTCTTTCTTGTTACTATGGTTTGTTCTTCTTTTATTGTTTGCTTTTCACCCTTTAAAGTGATATCCGTTTTTTCCTTACAATGTTGAGCTTTGATAGAAGTGCTTGGCATGTGTGAGTATTTGTGGAAGTTCTTCATTTTTCTTCCATGAAAAACTGCTTTTGATATCTACAAATAGAAGGAATCCTGAATGATCCTATTCATCCATGGCAGAGGCTGCAACTTAGAAAGGTTGTGCATATCATATCCCACTGTATTTAGTGCGTGTACGTTGATTGTTAAAGCAGTGGAAAACAGACTATTTGATAATGGATATGCTTAAGACATATTGGCCACTGGTGTTTCTATATATGGTGATACTTGAATTCCTTTCCTGTAAAAAATATTTTCAGGTTATCACATGTGAGCCTAGTGTTCAGGATTTTCTTTGCATGGTAGCAGTGATTCCAGTGTTGGTTTTATTAGTTATTGTGCTACTTGTATGACATGTCTGATGAATTGCTTGAAAATAATATCATTTGGCATGGTTTTTTATGTAATTACTTGTACTTCATTTTGGTTGGTGCTTATGTTTCTAGTTCCCAATACCTTTTAGGTGTAAACCTGATGTGGAAACTTACAATGCTCTAATTAATGTCCATGGGCGTGCTGGTCAATGGCGTTGGGCAATGAATATAATGGATGATATGTTGCGGGCAGCTGTATGTGGTTCTTTCTCTACTGAGCATCTGCTCCCCCACTTTTCCTTCTTTTTTGTTTTCCTTTATGGTTGCTTGCTTGGAGCAAATTCGTAGTTCAAAGCATGATCAATTGCTTTCTGGGCTTGCTTTATAAATTTATACACCTGTGCATATAAAATTTTGCAGTCACACAGACACACACACACACACACACACACGCCACCCCCCTTGTCCTAGTTTTGTGAACTTAGACTCATTTGTTTGTTCTAAGTACTTTTTAGTGATATTTGTAACTTTGGTGATCTGGATATTTGATATGTGATTTCTGACAATCTTGGGGTTCAAAAACATTTTGATATTCTAGTTAACATAAAAAAACTATACTTTATCTGTCAATCTTCATAATAGAAAGTAGATGTTAATTTTTGTGGTGCAGATGTCGGTGCAACTTGAATAGTAGACGAGTCACTAGGCTACATAACACTTATACCTATCCCCTATGTAAGCATCTATTAGTGTCAAACGTTCAAACTTCATAGGTCATGAGTGGGGTTTTGTTGCTGGTCAAAAAAATAAAACATAAAGAAAATAAAAACACACTCACACACAGAGAAAAGAAGAAAAGAAAAGAAGGGGAGAGGGAGGGGGGGAACGAGAGGGAGGGCAAGGAGGCTTGATTTCTTGTCAGAGTTTTCCTTAAGGGCGTGTTTGATAACCGGAAGGTAAATGTTCCCTGGAAATTGGAAGTTCGTCTTTGCTGGGAAGAAAGAAGTTACTGTAAGAAGTTCTAGGTTTCTGTGTTTGATAACCTGTTGGAATGTTAAAGAAGTTCTGGGTTTCTGTGTTTGATAACTTGCTGGAATGTTAGAGAAGTTATGAATCTCTGTCTTTGATAACCTGCTGGAATATAAGGAAGTTCTAAGTTACATAACAGGCCTTACGCTGTAGTCTACACACACAGACAAAATAACACTGTAGTCTACACACAGACAAAATACTCTTTAATCAGTTGCATAACAGGCCTTACTCTGTAGTCTACACACACAGACAGAATAACCATATTATTATTATTATTATTATTATGTGTTTATCAAACATCATTAGAAAGGACCAAAAGAGAGCATCAAACATCTAAAGCTATGTTACAACTATATGAAGGGCCAGTTTTCAACTGATAACATACTATAAACTCTATAATAGTGAGCAGCATTGGCATTATAATGGTGAGCAAAGTCATATGAAAGAGGTATACAAACTTTAGAAGCAATAAACCTTTAAATATTTGACAATTACCCCATTCACAATCATAACTGAAATTCACCTCAATCATCAAAGATAATCAATTTTCTCTTATTCAAACTCATGGCAATGATTTGTTCTTTTTTTCCTAGAAAAATTATTCTATACATCAAATAGTCAGGATTAATTAAATTGAATATTGGATTCTTCAACCATTTCCTGAACTAAAATTCCACAACAAACTGAACAAATTTCCTGCTGATTTCCTAGAGAAATGTTGTTATTTGCAAAAAAATTCCACTCGATCTATAACGAGTTGTTTGTTTTTGTTCGCTGATTCTATAACTACATTCTCAATGGTCAGATAAAACCATATGCTTGATATTGAAAAATAAAAAGTAAGCTTAATCTAAACCTATGGCAAAAATGAAAGCACTACTGCAAAAATCCAAATTATTTTTTCCCTACAGAGAACGATTTACCACAAAATAATATTCAGAGAAAACCCTAGATCCATTATCACCATGTTTGGAACCTAGAGAAAAAATCAGAGTGAGCGAAAGACCATGGGATAGAGAAAAAACCAGAGAGAGAAAAAATCAGGGGAGAGAAAAACAAAAGAGAGAAAAAACTGAGATGTACCTTTGTGAGGAGGCTCGTAGGTGCAAAGAGAAGCCGCAAGATGGTCTCTGCTCTGTGGTTCCGCAAGATGGTCTCTGCTCTGTGGTTCGGGTAGTCTGGGGCAAGCAAATACCTTCTTCTTCGTGAGGGCAGTCGGGGGTGGGTAACTTACCTTTAGCCTCGGCGAGGTTCCCTTTTCAAGTTCCGTTTTTTTACATGGAACTTTTTCTATGCCTAAAAAGAGGTAACAGGTAAGTTCCTAGTAACTTACCTTTTTAACTTAGCTTGTTATCAAACATGAAACTGCTACACGAATAGGTAAGTTCTATCTTCTTGTAAGTATCTTCTAGTTATCAAACACGCCCTAAGTGGATGTCTCTTGGTCCCTATTGAGTGCATCAAGCTGATGGGACCTTTAGTGTTTATGGTGTTGATCGGGCCTAGTTATTCAATTTTTTTGTTTTTCAATCATTCTATGCATGAAATGTAGTGATTTTATGAGATGCCTTGTACTGGTGTATTGATTTGTCTTGCGACTCATTTTTACTGCCATTTTATCTTTCACTGATATAATTTCTTATAACAGATTCCTCCTAGTCGTTCTACCTACAACAACCTGATTAATGCTTGTGGGTCTAGTGGACAATGGAAGGAGGCTCTAAAGGTTTGCAAGAGCATGACGGACAATGGGGTGGGACCCGACTTGGTAACTCACAATATCATTTTATCTGCTCTTAAAAATGGGCATGAGTATTCCAAAGCTTTATCCTATTTTGAACTGATGAAAGGGACAAACATCCGTCCTGATACGGTCACACTTAATATAGTCATACACTGCCTTGTTAAATTAGGGCAATACAAAAGTGCTTTCAATACTTTCAACTCAATGAGGGATAGAAAATCAGAATGTCAACCTGATATTGTTACTTTCACCAGCATTATTCATGCATATTCTGCATGCGGTGAAATATCAAGTTGCAGGGCAACATATGACACAATGATTGCTGAAGGTATGAAGCCTAATATTGTTGCATATAATGCACTAATGGGTGCTTATGCTTCATGTGGAATGCACGAGGATGCTCTCTCTGTTTTCAACTTGATCAAAGAGGCTGGTTTCCGTCCTGATATTGTAACATATACCTCTTTGATTAATGCCTATGGTAGATCAGGGCAACCGGTGAGGGCCCGTAGCATCTTTGACAAGATTAAGCGAAACTCTTTGAAGCCGAATGTTGTGAGTTATAATGCACTGATTGATGCATATTCATCTAAAGGATTGTTGACTGAGGCTTTTGAAGTGTTGCATGAAATGGATAAAGATGGAGTGAGACTAAATACTGTTACAATTTCTGCTCTGTTAGCGGCTTGCGGTCGTTGTGGTCGAACCATTGAAATTGATCCTATCCTAATGGCAGCCAGTTCAGAAGGAATTGTGTTAAACACAAATGCATACAATGCAGCCATTGGAAGCTTTGTGGATGGTGGTGAGTATGAGAAAGCGTTAAGCCTGTTTGAATCTATGAAAGAAAAGAGGGCTAAACCTGACTCTGTTACTTTCAATATCCTGATCAGTGGGTCATGTAAGATGGGAAAATATGATAAAGCCATCAAATTTTTTGGGACTATGATGGCTTTGAGAATTCCTTTGTCTAAGGAGGTGTATTCATCAGTGATCTATGCCTACAGCAAACAGGCAAGTGTTTATACTGACATGAATCAATTGTAATTATGATACCAACTAATTACCTTGGGGAACTTGATGTGTTAAAGGCGTCATGCTTATTTAGGGTCAATTAGAAGAAGCCGAGTCTCTCTTTAGCGAGATGAAGAAAACTGGTTGTCTCCCTGATGTTGTCACCTATACCACCATGATCCATGCTTATACTGCAGAAGGTACCATTTGACTCCTATAGTTTTAACTGCATATAACCCTATGATGTTGAGCAATGAATAGCTTATTCTTCATTATTGCATATTTACATGTATGCAGAAATGTGGACAAAGGCATGCTCTCTGTATGAAGAAATGGAGGTAAATGGTATTCAACCTGATACAATTGCTTGCTTGGCTCTTATGAAAGCTCTCAATAGAGGTGGCCGCCCAAGCATGGTTCTCCATTTGGCAGACGTGATGAGGGAGAAAGGAATTCCTTTCAATGAATCTGCATTCTTTAACATGATATCTGCTGGCAGCATGTAAGATGGATACTCACAATTTTCCAGTGACCTGTATCTGTTTGTTTTAAAAGAATATCAACTTATGGCTTCTGTTAACTTGTTTTCCAATGCACTATAAAACTATTCTGTGGCCTGAATCATTCATTTTTAAATATCCTGCTTTTTTCATTTTAATCCTCCGAACCTTCAGAAATCCTCTTGGTGATAAACTACGTTTACATTTTCTGATTTTGGTTTATAATTTGTTATAAGTGGCAATTATAAGGTAATAACTCTTGATGACATGTAAGATTTTCATGCAATATAGGTCCATTTCTAAGTAAGGCGTGAATCTTGTTTGCTTTAGATGAATATCAAATGCCGGGGTTTCATCCTTGATCATATTTTTAGGGCCATTATAGTCCAGAATTTTAAATTTTTGCGACTACTTATGATGCAAGCATTCCTGAATATTTAGATAGAACTAGATATTGGGTCTAAAATGCATGCTTGTTACTCCACGTATATAATCCCACACGCTTGTTATGTCTCACATATGATCCTGCGGACTTGTTACTCCATGCAAGGGAGCCCTCCTGAGAATGTGTCAGAGTGAGACATTAAGTTAAACACGGATTAAACATGGATTCTAAGGTGTCTCTAAGAATTTTCAAGTTCCTAGCCATGTCCTTTCTTGAAAACTTTCAGAATGCACTGTTGATGGCAGTAAATTGATTCCTTTTGATGGGATTGAAACATTATGAACTTGGGATTGAAACATTATGAACTTCCCCTGTTTGTTATTTCCTTAGATTCATCAAGGTCTGACATGATGGGAACAGACTTTGCTAATCTGGATCTTTTTTTTTTCCTCTCATTTTTTTTGTTTGCAACTTTGCATGTTCCTCGCATTGATTATTTGGTACAGCCTTTGGTAAGTAAACTTCGTCCTCATTGTTTGACACGTTGAAATTCAACAATTCTCTCAAGAGGTCGGTCAATTTGGGTCATTCCAATTCCTTTTATTTCTTGACTGTTGGCATCTATTCATATGGTCATATTGTTTGTGTTTCTCGCTACGATTTAGTTTTGTGCAATAAAATAAAAACCTTGATTCAACTCATGTTCGATTGAAATATATTCAGACCTTGTAAGAGTTCCTTGGTCATTGTTTAGATTTTCGTTCATATCAACAATAAGTGTCAAGACGATGCTTGGTTTTGTGGATTTCTATGCTGCAAAAAAGAGAAAAAGGTTTGGGATATGTTTTGTGCTTATACTGCTTCTACTCCAAATTCTGTTTTACCATTGTTTATCTCTACTGTGAGTTTTTGAATTAGTAGGAGAAATTTTGAATTATAAGGAGTTGATATACTCTACAGTGTCAGACTTTTGAATTTATGCATGTATTGTTTTATGGTCAGCATGTGACGGACTATTTAATTAGTTCTTGTAACTCATGCACTTAATTGATCAAAATTGTTGGCCGTGATTATGGTTGAATGTGCTCGTTAGTCAGAGAGATTTATAAATCTAATGAAACGACCTTTTATCTTTGTCCTTGAAGGCTACAAGATTGGACCTCACTTGTTAAACTAACCAAAGATATTGAATCTTTGTTACCAAAAGTTTCAACTGGGCTTCTCAACCACCTTTTGCGTTCATTGGGGAAAAGTGGAAAGGTGGAGGGAATGATAAAGGTACTCCTATTTACTCGTATTTGTATTCTCTTTCAAGTCATTCTGTCAATCCTTACAGTTTTCTCTCATTCAGTTTCGTTTGTCTAACTCTTACAGTATATTTGTTTCCCTCAGAAAAAAACTCTTGTAGTTTATTTTTGTTTCATTCTCAGCGAGATTAATAATTATAAGTTTGGCAAATGGGAAAGAATTTAGAAGTCAATGGGACGATATTCACTAGTATAGGGAAAGATTCATTTGTTGCAACCATAAAAAAAAAGACAAAAAGGAAAAAAGAGGAAGGAAAAATTCATGTGTTATGCTGTGGTTACATTTACCCATGGTTATCAGATGTGGTTGCACAACACATTTATTGCGGTTACATCAAAGTAGTGCGGCCCTAAATTAAACAGAACTGAAAAGTAAATGGAAGAAGATTTACCAGTTTAGGAGAAGATTCACTTGTTAGAACCATTAAAAAAGAAGAAACAAATTTCACTTGTTGTATTAAGTTACATTTATCCATGGTTGTTAGATGTGACAGGCATGGCTATGTGGAACTCAAGGTATTAAATTAAAATTTTTTTTTTTACTTTTATTTAAAATACCTTAATTCCATTTACAAAGGCCATTAAATATTGCTGTAAATTAAAATAGGGCCCTAGATACAATCTAGGATCTTTATGTCATTGTTAAGAGAAATAGAAACTATCTAGGAGCTTTAAACCACCATAATTTTTAACACAAAAATAAGTTCTTGGAAATTCACATAAAATAGAAAATAATATTAAAACTTAGTTAAAACTACTGGGAAGACTTACTGGAAGATGCCTAGAGTTACCCTACCAGGTCTTGATACATCCCACACCCGATTCCCTGACTGATGGTTCACTTTTACTCTTTTAGGTGTTGCTGGAAATTTTGAGATAGGAAAGTTTTGTCTAGGGTTTGAGAGAGTTAAAAAACAACTAGGGTTTATCGAAACCCTAGGTGAACAATTTAGGGCAATGTTAGAGGGTTTATTTCTATCTTGGCTGGCTGTACCTCTCTCCTTCTTCAAAAAATCAGCAAACCTCACCTAGGGTTTGAAAGTCCCACCTTTTCTTTTTTTTTCTTAGATAGAAGTTTCCCACAATAAGAGGAGAGAGTGAGGTGGCATGCCTCTCTATGGGGTAAAGAGAGAGGAGGCACGTGACTTCAAATCATTTTCTTGAGAGAGAAAAATAGTGGCATGGAGAAAAAAGAGAGAGAGGCATGATGGAGAGAGAAAATAACTTGGGCATGAGAGAGAGATCTTTGTGGCATGAGAGGAAAATCTTTTGTAATGAGCAAGGGGGCTGAAATCTTGTTTAAATAACAAGAAGATTTATTTACTATTTTAAATAGGATTCCAATCTAAGTATGTCTTATCCAATTTCCAGCTAGAATTTTTAGGATAATTTAGGAAATCTGTGGGGTGAGAGATTTAATCAGAGCCATCCATCCCATAAATCAGCCATCATAATTTTGGGTGGAAAGATAGGAACCTTATCCCTGTTTATTTTGACCCAAGTCCAACTCCTATTTAAAATTAAAATTTAATCAAATTTATCATAATCTATATTTCCCATGATCAAGCATAATCTATATTTTAAAAAAAACTCTCATAAGATAAGGAAACCAAATCTTCTTTGAAAAGATTTTCTTTCTTTAACTAATTTAAATATTAACAACTACAAGAAATGGTGCGTGCCATTTAAGGTTCAAGAAATTTGGGCGTAGCCCCTAGGTACTTAAAAAGTGGGCTGCCACCCTAGGAGGTCATGTAGGCCCCACATGGTTGGCACATGCATGTGTGGGGGCTGGATCGTTGGTCTCAACATGTTCTAGACCAAGTTCTGAAAAATTTCAGAAATATCCTTTTAATGTATTTTTTAGTAGAAATAATATTTTAAACTTCTGAAAAAATGTTTTAAAATCATAAAAACATTTTTAATACGAAAACAAAATATACAAGGAGTGGACTGGTACCAATGGATCAAAATTATCAACAATAAGGGCACTCCACTTGCTATAGAAACCATGATCCACTACTGTTTTTTTATCCAATCCGACAAAGACTCATGACCGACAGTCTCATATCAGGGCTCACAAATTGTTTGTCAAAGTTGAACAATAAACATTGGGACCATGATCTTGAAATATGGATATCAGTTCCCCCCATTTAAGAGCAAGTCTTGCACTTGTTATTACAGTGCAAAGGGGGCTTTCTCTATGCACGTACCCATGTTCTTTTATAGGGCTGCTTCCTAATAATGCGGTTGTCATGTGTACATGCCTTGCAGAAGTTTTTTGAGGCTTTGACCCTTGCTCTCACAGTCCTACAACCTCACACATGAGAACACATAGTTCTCATGGCATACAAACATCATCCCTGGGCATCTCTTCGACCTCAACAAGCAATGACCCATTGCAAACCCTTCTCGTAGTGCCACCTGCCTAGGGTAAGGGTTTTGAACATGACCAGGTTCATAAACTGCCCAACCTTAGTCGGTCAATACATGCACTCCCATACAATACATATCATTTTTCAAGCTCTCCAGGCCTTTAAATGCCACAAAACCCAACAAGATGGAACTACATAACGCATTTTGTGGCTTTGTTAAAGTGGTCACTGCATAACGCCTAGGTGGGCTTGCAAGATGTGCCTACCTAGGTGGCGTGCGGCCCTTGTATGCTGACCATGCTTGTGGATGGGAATAATGCCCACAATCAAGGCAAAAGAGCCTTTTCAGCCCAAAAGGGGGGGAAATGACTTTCTTTGGGGTGGGTGGGTGGCTTGCTGGTTTGGGCACTTCGTTTTTTTCTTTATTTGGGGGGGAGGGGGGGGTTTGGGTATATGTAACTCATCCATAACCCCTTTAAACCAATATTTTTTGGATTTAAGGGGATTAGAATCT